ATGGAGCGTGGGTTTTACTTTGGATACAAAGAACATATTTTCATCTATACAAAAAACTCACATTATATCTATAATTATGTATAGGTAACCACCTTTATAACGAATGTTCTGTAAACATTTTATACATATAAGTTCCCTAAAGGAAAATTCTAGATGAATAATGAAATTATGTTTATTTTGTGGAAAATGCACAAAAAACAATTAAAGAGCATAGGTTTAAAACCTTTGCTTAAAATTATTCAACCTAAAGTTAAATTACCCATGCAAAACTAGATACAATATGCTGAATCGTAGTACAGTCCGTGCATATTCCCGCCATCGAAACTTTCTGTATTATATTCGCCATCAAACTTCACAGTAAGTTATCATCCAAATCCTTAAAATCTCGGTCGCAGTGCGGATTACCGACTCCAGCGCGGGGTCTGAATGGGGGCAATCAGAACTCCGCGATTGAGGACGCACATCTACAGCCACAGCCAATTCCTATACTAAAACTCCATCTTGCGGCTTAAGGAATAGATGCCAATGGCAATCACAACAGACGTATTGAAAGAAGTTTGCTGTATTCCGCTTACTGAAGTTCACAACATTATATAATTAGGCAAGATACTCGTAGTTACCATGTGCATCACTCGTAGCACCTGCAAATCTCGTAGCAAATCGTAGCACTGACTGCTTCTTGTGAAGTGAGACAGTTGGTTATAACCTCATTGAGTAGTCTTATTTAATGTTGTGCTTTTAAAGATTTGAATGGGGGCAATCAGAACTCCGCGATTGAGGCCGCACATCTACAGCCACAGCCAATTCCTATACTAAAGCTCCATCTTGCGGCTTAAGGAATAGATGCCAATGGCAATCACAGTAGACGTATTGAAAGAACTTCGACGCTGTATTATACTGTTTATTAAAGTTCACAACATTAAATAATTAGGTAAGGTAGTTGGCATGTTAATTACGTTCGTAGCACCTATAAGTGTCGTAGCAAATCGTAGCGCTGACTGCTGCTTGAAATAGTCGGTATATTATTAATTTCATCGAGATTTTAAGGATTTGAATGAGGGCAATCAACTCTGCGATTGAGTAATTTAATTAGGTTAGATAGTTGGCACCTATATGGATCACATTTGTAGCACCTGCAAGTGCCGTAGCAAATCGTAGCACTGACTGCTGCTTGCATAAAGACCTAGCATTACATTCGTAATCCATTTCGATTTATTGAATGTATCTGCCGTTTTGTACGTGACATGAGGACAAAGCAATGAATAAATGAAGCCGAAAAATAATATTACGCTAAAATAGTAAGACACAGGTCTTAACGCGACGTTTTATAATGAGTTACATTATGTACTCACGGCTTGACGTTTCCGCTGCAATGCTGCAGCCGTGGACACAAGCAGACTGGCGATTCGCGGCGTCGTCCGTTCGGGCGGGCTTGAAATTTTTCAACTACCCTCATATTTTCATTTGTACACTACCACTAGTGATGTTACCACGACACACAACACTCACAGTATCCGTATTCATACTTGACGGCAAAATTCGCGGTTTGCATTTATTAATAAGAAAAATACCCTGTCTTATAGCCACGTTAAAGTTAACTTTAAAGATTTAACATTTGATGGACGAAATTTCGGTAAGTTACTACTTATATAAAATAAATCCATAAAATCCTTGTCGCATCGCGAATTACCGACTCTTAGCAGCAATGCTTGAATGGGGCAATCAGAACTCGGCGATTGAGTCTGCGCTTATAGAGATGCAGCTGTAAGCTCAATGAAAAAATCCCTCAGACATATTCGAGATTACTGAAGATAAAACTTGTATTTAATGGCTTAAGGCTATACGGGATTAATGACACTTCTGTCAGATATTTTAAAAGTTGAAACAGGGGGAGTTGCAGGAGGAATCTGCGGTGAATCCAGAACACTCTTTTGTTCAGTCGAGTTCCAGTGGGTGTAAAGATAAGCCAGACTGTGAAGAACCAAAGAAAAGACAAAGAAAGAAGCCAGAAAGTTATGGTTGTGCAAATTTCATTTATTCATTTCAAACTTATTTGCAAATTAAACTGGGTTCAAAAGATGAACCTAACACCATATGGCATTCTCGTCTAGTTAACCTATCAATAAACGTAAGATTTTCAATGCTTACTTACGTTTATCACATCATATTTTCGTAGCACGCGTCGTAGTCATACTACGGAGGCTACGGCAACTGCTACGAAGAATATGCCCAGTGAGATAGCGCCTTTATCGTACATACTACTATCGTCAAAGTCACCTCATAAACAACTGCATACGACACCAATATTGAGCTTGACGTGTCGTAAAAGTAAAAGAAAAAACTATGTAGGTACAGACGACGGCACATCATACTTAACAAAACATTTTAAGTTCATAGAAACAAAGGCGATTTTGCGACAAAGATGCAACCTGATGTGCAGTTGTCTGTTCATATTTTATTCCCACTTTTTTGTCCCACTTCAACGCCCTCTATCACGACAGTTTAATCTGCAGATGCCATTGCACGACGCTATCTGCACCGTTGTCGGCCGCAGCCGCCGCAGACCGCAGTTCGATTTCCGTTCAATCTCGCGGCGACGCCGCGTCGCGTCGCGTCGGCTAATTGGCCTGTAATGAATGAGCAACGATTATAGTTTAATAGAAGGTTACAAATTAACACGTTGAAATGTTAGATTAGCTTACTTTGTTGTTACTTTAAAATCAAACCTGGTACCTATTATACTCGTACATATAAACTGTATTTGTATGTCTGTTACCTTTTCGCAACAGAACTTATCAACATTGATTCGGTGGTTTACCGACTCATCAAAATTGGAGCTCTGTGTGCCTACCATGAGTTTACGTTAGGTGTTCTCGCTAGCGACTGCGTAAAAAAATGACATTTAAATGTATGACATATTGTGCAGCGCCCCTAGCGGCTACTTTCAAGAAATAAAATCTTCATAGAATTTTTTGACGTATTCGCTAGCGAGCTCACCTAACGTAAACTCATGGTAGGCACACTGGTATAGAGCTGGACTTTGGCAACTTTCCGTCGCTTAATTGAAGGGATGAAAGTTTGTTTAGCGAATCGATCATTTCTTAAGCTAGCGATATGAAAACTCATCATTACGCTTTTGGTAATAAATAGTTTTCAAACAAAACAAACAAGACTTTCTGTGTAAGAGAAAATCTAAGCTAGGAAAGTCGCGGGCGATAGTTATAGTCTACACTTACGCTAGCAAAGCCATGGTTGCAATAGTGAAATTTTTTTGAAATAAAATATTATTTTCCTCATATCTTTTTATTGAATCAAGCAATGAAGTTGAGTTATTCAATCCACTCTTCTTATGCACTACAGTTTTTGATGTCTTTACATTTGGCAGCACAGTAGCTCTTGTCGAGAAGTATTTTTCTGGTTTCAATTGAACTACAACGTCTACAACTAACTAATAGACAACCTCTGAACAAACATTCACTGGTTTATGAATATGATAGTCAAAAGAGCAAACAAAAGCGCTCCAAACTAAATTATGTCACTTTATTTATATTCTAATCTGTAGTAAACAGTTTGAATGTGATGTTTGAATCACATATAAACTATTCAGTCAGCGAAACTCCAACATTAAACGTACGGCGAGGGTTGATCCTGAATGGCTTATTAACACCTAAATTCAGGAATAGACGCTATAATTCTACTACCCACATAATTCAGGACGTCACATATCCCGTTTACCTACAACATCAGCGGGATGTCTGCCGATCGTTTTTAGTGGGTATTTACTAGAGGATAAGGTCGGTTGTGCGTTGTAGATGTGTGTATATGTGGTAATACTCGTAATTCGCCATCTTAGGAACGAGCCTTATTCCATTAGAGGCTAACGCGGCGATCACGGGCCGGTCACGGAGCGTGATGTCACGCGGAAACTCACCTGGCTTTCATACCTTAATACTGAATGAACGGGAATTTCCTGGAACGTAATTTATATTATAATACATTTCTGTGCGATCGGCGAGCTACTTTTCTAATGTGGACCGAATGGTTGGGTAGTTTTAACTGAATGTTGGTTTGCTTTTGGGTCTATTTTGTTAATGTTCCAGAGATCCTTTACTTTACTTTATGACGTACCTAGTATGACGACAATAGTATGACAACAATTTATACTTTACTTTATGACGTAGCGTACCTATGTTTGTGATTTAATTAACTTTATAATAAAGGGATAAGTACATTTAATGATTTATTATAGATATAACAATAAGCTTCAAACACAATTGAGTATGAGCATTAGTAATGAGTACTATGTTATAGCCACGTGATTTTACAATACACAAACGTAAATTGTATTGTTGCATAAATCTCATGCCGTCGCCGTTGAAGTACCTACTAATAATAAAACGAAGAGCTTTTGACTATTATTATGTACTTATTATTGTATCAATTTACTGGTAAAAAAAGGATCTGTCAACATCCCAACTAATATTATAAATGCGAAAGTAACTCTGTCTGTCTGTNGCAGGATAATTTATATTATAATACATTTCTGTGCGATCGGCGAGCTACTTTTCTAATGTGGACCGAATGGTTGGGTAGTTTTAACTGAATGTTGGTTTGCTTTTGGGTCCATTTTGTTAATGTTCCAGAGATCCTCGTGCCAAACAATTTATTCTTTATTTTATGACGTAGCGTACCTATGTTTATGATTTAATTAACTTTATAATAAAAGGATAAGGACATTTAATGATTTATTATAGATATTACAATAAGCTTCAAACACAATTGAGTATGAGTAGTAGTAATGAGTACTATGTTATAGCCACGTGATTTTACAATACACAAACGTAAATTTTATTGTTGCGTAAATCTCGTGCTGTCGCCGTTGAAGTACTAATAATAAAACGAAGAGCTTTTGACTATTATTATGTACTGATTATTGTATCAATTTACTGGTAAAAAAAGGATCTGTCAACAGAAATAAATAATACCGTTTGTTGCAGCAGTTCGGGCATCGCCGGAGCCACGCCGCTCGCTGTCCATCACAGAGCCTCCCCATCATGTGGAGTTCAGCAACGATACCGGTGTCATGCTGAGCTGTGCCACCCGGGGAGATTACCAGGTAAGCCACAGCTTCATTACCACGATTATTCTTAGGAAGCCTACTGCTTCCTAGTGTAATGATTTTTATATTTATTAGACGTGAATGCCAGGAGGCATCACGGTGACGGATGGCCGATATTTTATGAAATATAAACTTCGGATACTTTACACCTTTTATTTGTTGATTCCAAAATACATTTATTACAATTTACAACTAGGACTATATACGTAGGGATTTGAGGTCTTTACTGTGCCAATGCTACAACCCAATTGGCTCCTGTCCGGCGGCATGCCAGCGATCACGTCACTTCCCCTTCCATTCGTCAAACTCGATCAGCTCAAACGACTTATCGACGGCATGCCCCGGAAGTAGTCAAGTACAATATTTAGTTAAAAATAATAGTTGATTTTTATTTCTACAATACTAAACTGTATACAATAAAAATTCTAGAATATTTACATTAAATAATAATCAAATATTAAATGTGGAATAATCGACTATAATACAGAATACATTTTAAAATCATTCTAATATCTGCAACATGTCCAGGAAGTAATCAAATAAAGTTCTTTAATTTAATAATGGATTTTTAGGTTTTACGTTACAAAACAATACCTAATCGTATAAAATACAATATAAATTCTTAAATCATTACACTAGCAGTTTGGGCATCGTCGGAGACTCGCTACTCATTGTCCATCAAAGAGCGCATCAGGCTCCTACATTATGAGTTCAGCAAGGACACCGGTGTCATGTTAAGCTATGCCACCACGAGATCACCATAAGCCACAGATAAGCCACAGTTACATCATCACGATTAATAGGTCAAAGGGCTTTCCCACCTCTCGTTCCCACCACTGCAACTCCTGTGTAGCCAGGATCTACAGCTTGACCGCCACAAAAGCTTTCTTAAGCTTTAGAGATGACAATAGGCTAACGGTGTCGGCATCGCCGGCTACCGACCCTCGAGTAGTTCAATCTCCGTCGACTACAAGACTGGTTAAAATACAACTGTATATTTAGCGTTACTCGAGGTAAGCGGGATCAAAGTAATTTGCGCACTATAAAGTAAATAAAGCTCGTTTTAAAGAAAATCATACATCCAGTGAGGTTAACACTAAAGCAGAAACAGTCAAATAAGTAGTATTTACGTTTAACTGGTGTAGATTTTCCAAGTAGCAATTAGCTATGTACATATTTACTTTAGTGTTAGATTTAGGAGTCTGTAGACGTACCTACTTTCTGTGAACCTGCAAGGGGTAGTATCACAAGAACTCATAATTTAATTTTAAATGACTAGAGTTTAAGGATAATCTTATACGTCGTAAATTTAGTCACGCTACCAAAACAAACTTCACTTATGCCCTACAAAAAGGGCCCGATAATTCCGTTAAGCGCCCTTTCCCTAGTTAATCAAAAGTAACTTCTTTGCTATTCAAATTGACCTTTAAAGCCGTGAGGATTCCGTTCTTCATTTAATTCCATCCCCAAATCCATGGAACTAATGGAGCGGGCCAATAACAAATTGGGACACAGTGGGAGGGCTAAAGGGAATACCCCCAATTTGTCTTCGCTTCCGAGATTTTTTTCTATAGGAATAAACAAATCTCGAGCTCCTGTCCTCTAGATCTTTGCATCGTCTTGACTTTTCTCATAGTGATGCGCGTTTGAACACTCGATAGTTTATCGATAACTTAATTTACGTGTAATGACAATACTGAATAGGCAGTATGTATGTAGAATGACGGCATTTTTATTGTGGCATAGATTTTGGTGTTTTTAAATAATGAAACAATAATTAGTCTTTAATAAACATTGAACAATGAACATGCATTTTTTCGAAATTAAAGTAGTTTAAGGGCATAGGCAACTTTCTTGCTTTACAGAGAGCTCACAACTTCAAAACTTAAGCACAATAAAAAATTAATATTGAATGATTCATATGATTAATATCCTTCATATTAATCATAGGTATTCATAAAAAACATTTAGATATTGAAATTTATTATAGTTAGAAAAATTTAGGCATATCCATTATTCTATAATCGATAAATGCTACTGCAGCCTTTTGCTATAATAATAATAATAAATAATAAATATCCTTGGACATTTTACACTGCGCTTCTAGTCCCAAACTAAGCAAAGCTTGTACTATGGGTACTAGAGAACGGATATAAACATACTTAAATACTTTTTTTTTTGTAAATACATACTTATTATACATAGAAAACACCCAGTCCAATACAAACAAATATGTTCATGCACACAAATGTTTGCACTGTGCGGGAATCGAACCCGCAACCTCCGGAATAGTAGTCCGTTTCGAACCACTACACCAAACGGCCGACTCACTACACCAAACGGCCGACTCACTACACCAAACGGCCGACTAATTGATACACATCACTATCCAACCATGAGGCGCCACTTGAGTGTTGGGCCTGACGAAATAATTGGTTATCGTACGCGCGTTTGTTTATTTTTAGACCATATTGTTCGATAAGTAGATTACGCCGAGATTCTTTTGTTGAGTGTACTTCAGCCTTAAAAAAGGATCATTGTTATCGTGAAAAGCAAAATATCTTGAGTTGGTACAATATACCGTATGTAGGTACGAAATCCTAAGCCTCTTTACGGTTATGCTCTCGAATACTGAAAGAAAGGATTTCCCATCATGAAAAATAGTTGTGTTGCTAAGAAAAAGAGTATTTATAAAAGCTACGTCATATTATACCAACATTCTTTGAAGCTATTGGTCAGGAAATTATGTTGATTTTATCCTATTTAATTCTTTCATTAGATTAGAAACGTTTTTTCAAAATGAGAGAATGTGTATTCTCTCATTTTGAAAAAAACTTTAAAATAAAAGTACCTTTTAACAATAGCATTGCCAAATATTAATTATTTTCTCTCGTTTATTATGAAATACGAGGTAATAAATTTACCAAAATAAAATTGTAACAGCAATAAATGGCACCGGGTAGAGCTGTTGAAATTAAATGTCGTTTTCAAGGGTGATAAATATTTTAGATTACTTTCAAATTTTCAACACGAGCTGCCCTTCAATGGCAACTCTGATCTTCTATTCTACTTTGCTGAAGTTCATGGGTGCCATGAGGTTTCATGTTTCGTTTTCAGGGAGGGAGTCATATCTTCCGTTTCCCATGAAATTTGCAAATCTGCCAAAAATGCAGAATCCAAGCTAGTTCCAAAACATTTCAGGTACCATAATGATCGACATGATGCCAGTAACCTCTATATGTATGGATGTTCGCGAGTGTGCATAATAATATACATATTTATCTTCCGGTGGGTCCCGCGGTATCTTTATTCCTGAATACGTCCAAAATGTCAATGGTCAACTAGTTCTATAGCACGTTTCATGTAACATAGCACTGACCTACTTTTCCATTTTACAGAAGATCCGGGAACCCACCCGTCTATACCTACTTATCTCTGTCTTTGTTTCCCATGACATTTGCAAATCTGTCAAAAATGCAGGATCGGAACTAGTTCCAAAACATTTCAGGTGCCATAATGAGCTACATGACGCGGCTCCTCCATATTTATGGAATTTCGCGTGTGTGCATATCTTTATTTCCCGGTGGGTCCGCGCGGCCGTAAACTTCTCCCGAACTCCGTCGAATGGAAAAACTTTATTTATATTTGAGTTGGGCGAGCGGGTTTGTGAATACTGAATCAGATCAGCGGGGGGCGGCTCTGAACATATTTCATCTTTACAATGCACAAAGGTGATAAGGCAAAGTTTGACGGTTACTACGAGAACTGCTGATGTTAGGAGTGAATCTTGCGTAACAAGCTTGTCATAAGCTAAAGCATATTTATTGCATTGGCCTTCAACAAATACTTTTGTAATCATAAAGCCACTAAACGGCTAAAAACATTTTTTTTGTTAAGTCTACGGTAATCAATAGTATGCTATGCTATAGTAGGTAGCTATGTTGCCGTTGATGAAGCATGCTTTCATCACAATATTTAATACAAAATTATATTATTAGGTATCGGTTTGCTACACCTTCTTAAAACTGTAATTTATTGACGTACCTATATCTCATCAGTTAAAGCTTAACCGTAAATAACAATTTATGCAACGTTACCAAACAAAAGTTTCTCAAAACCCCGATGCTAAGCACTTTAGTGAAATATTCTCCAATTTTCACTTACAAACTTTCAAGTTGGTCCATTAAATTGTTTAAAATCTCATTCTTAGTGACCTCGTTTAAGCCGGCCAAGTATGTAACTCGCCCTGACTTGCCATATTTTGCAAACTTCTGGCATTCACCAGAGTTTGATGGAATTTTGAGAGCATTCCCCCGGGACAGCAACTAGCTGCCTACAGGAACTTGGCTAGATACTGGGATTCCGAAGCTGATGCTAAAATTCATGCAAGACGTATAGAATTTCGGACATAAGTAGCTAACTCTACTAAAAAACTTTTAAACTGTTGAACCAACTTTTCATCGCGAATTCAAGAACTTGAAGGGGGTTACAATAGGTTGGGTACTATGTAGATTTCTATGGACAATCTATTATTTCTCGAGTGAGTAACATAAAACTCATTATAATTAAATCTTGGAAACAAAGAATCGGGAGACATACTCCCATTAAAATCTAATAGGACAGACCAAAATGGCCTCATGTTTAGGTAATGGTTCTTCCTAATACAATGTAGGTACCACCCTAGATTATATCTCACCTAACATCAGGTGTGATTGGAGTCAAATAAAGCATAAAAAAGTTAGAAACATCAATATAATTTATAAATATAAATTGCATAAGGAACCAACATTTATTATTCAGAACAAAAACATGCGGGCATAGCTCACTCGCGCCGCGCCTGGAAATTGCGAGAACTTCACGCATTCAGCAGAGTTTGACAGAATTCGAAGATTCCCCGGGGAAAGTCCGCCACCTGAACTGGAATGCCGAAACTCCGACGTTAATTTCGCTCCATGTTGGATATGTTTTGTTGCCAACACACGGCAAATAGGAAACCC